AACCCTTTTAGATTTTCAATAAGTATCATGACGTTTTGAAAGGAGGTAGAGCATGGAATCCAGTGTTATTGTAGTATGATTTATATATATTTTTATTCATATGTTTATTCATATTTTTATTAATGCATGTTTGTTAATATTATTTGCATTTACATATTGTACTATTATATTTAATACAATTAAAATAATAAAATTAGCTTTTATTTTAATATTTTTCATTTTAACGAATATATTTAGTTTCTATTGTTATTTTTATATTTCTATATAGCTTATTTTTGCTTAGGTTTTAGCTTAAATAAGTTTAGAAAACTTAAACGTATCATTTTATAATAATTTCATAACCAAACAGTTGACATTAGCAATTGACTTCCATTGTAAGTCGCTGGCTACCATCAAGTGTTTGGTTACCAACATTCTTCAAAATATCTTCTTTCGTTCTTAACATATGAAAGAATCTCAGTAAATGACAGAATTTTCATTTTTGGTAGAAACATATCTTTTAAGTTATACTGATGTTACATTTGAAGTGTTATATAATGATGACCATGAAGATAAGAAATCTTACAAAGCTGGTCTTTTATTACACTATAAAATGAATGCAGACACACTGACAGCAGCTGAAACAACATTTCCAATATATGCACACAAAACAGCATCTTACCAGATGACTCTGCACTGAGCGTGAAGCGGTTCTCCTGTTGCCATCATGTTGATCCCCAGCGTCAGGGTCAGAGTCAGCAGCAAGATTCTCGTTTGCATGGTGAAGATCTGTGTGTCCTGTCAGTGAACAGATAGAGATGTGCTTGAGCTTTATACTGAGGTCTGATGTGTGTGTGTGTGTGTAGAGCAGCATCAGAGCTGTCATGTGGTGTCAGATGGTTACGAGGAGCCACAGCATTGATTAGCAAAGGTCACGTCGCGTGAGGAGCACAAACAGAGTGTTTGAGCACTAAATGTGTTCTTAGAGATGCCTGCATTAAATGCATTCATTCACTGAATATCAGCTGATCTCATGGTCGTTTTTTAAGATTTATTTTCTTTTTGAATGCATAAAGGCTGTTAAGTAGGCTAATATGTGTAACTTCTGAGGATTAATATGCCATTTATTTATGCTATATACACAAACAGCCTTTATACTTATAAATAGAGCTATAGACTGAAAGATACTTAGTCATTTCAAAAAAGTTTCACAAGTTTGGTGTAAACGGCAACAACTGCACAAATGTCTTTGTATTAGTAAACATAACATGCATGTAAGCAATGTAACCTACTGTTCAAATCTTTGGGGTCAGTAAGAGTATTAAAAAGAAATTAATAGGCTACTTTTATTCCACAAGGATACATACCATTGATTAAAGTGACAGAAAAAGATTTTTTTATTTCAAATAAATGCTGTTCTTTTAAAACTTGTAAAAATGTATCATGGTTTACCCAAAAATATTAAGGAGTTATTCAAATTATTCAACTGTTTTCAACACTGATAATATTAAATGTTTCTTGAGCAGAAAATCAGCATATTAGAATGATTTCTGAAGGATCACCGTGACACTGAAGCCTGGGGTAATGATGCTGAAAATTCAGCTTTGCCATTAGTGGAATGAATATCAAAATATAGAAATATATTAAAAATAGTTATTTTAAATTATATTAAATAATTAAAAATATTTTTAATAACTTTGTAGTCATTTTTCACAATATTGCTGTATTTTTATTTTATTTTTTTGCCTTGGTGGGCATAAGAGACATGCAACAAAAACTTTTAAAAAATCTTATCGATCCCAAACGTTTGAGTGGTATTGTAGTGTCAACTGCAAATTTCAATCCGATTACTAGTCGCCGCAAAGAGAAGCGTTCGCCTATCCTACCATCATAATCATTTTATTGTAGATACGAAATAAAATTCAGTCTCACTAAGTCACATATCCAAACCCATTTAAAGAGTCATCCAAAAAAATCTGGCACTAGTAGCCTAATTATAGCCCTATATGTATTGCTTGCACAAATGCATTGTAGGCTACGACTACATTTGATATGGCAAGCCGCTTTAGCTTAAATTATTCCCAGTGTTACTTGTCGTAATTGCATTTTTACTAGTAATAATTTAATTATAGAGCTCTCTAATTAAATTTTTTTCTAGTAAGAATTCCAATTAGAGCTCTCCAATTTAATTAAAGAGCTCTGCAATTAAACATATCTTTAATGTAGGATTTTACTAGTAAAAATGTAATTAGAGAGCTCTCTAATTGCATTTCTTACTAGAAAAAAATCAGTTGCAGAGCTCTGTAATTATAAATGAATGGAAGTCAATGGAGACATATTATTAGTAAAAATTAAAGCGTAGATTTCTTTAACTGTAATTGTTACTAGTAATAATTAAATTAGAGAGCTCTCTAAACATAATTGATACTAGTAAAAACTGAATTACAAATCTTCTAATTGTAATTTTTACTAGTAAGAATTTAATGGTAGTGCTCTCTAATTGAATTGTTACTAGTAAAAATGCAATTACGACGAGTAACGCTGGGAGTATTTTAAGCTAAAACGGCTTGCCATAAACGGATGTCACTAAAAACAGATGCTTTTTTGGACCCGTGTGTAATAAGAAAATAAGACTTGAGAAGAATGGGAATGGGACAATATTCTTCAGGGGCCTCATATATAGAATGTGCTAAAATCCATGGCAATGTTCATATTTATAAAAATGGTCTTTTTGGCGTGGAAAAGTACTTACCGCCACGTCAGGGTCTGAGCAGGCGTACGCACTTTTCCTTGTGGCAAAGTCAGAGTACTGCAGCTATTTGAAAATCTAAGCTGCAATAATAATAAAAGCGGTGTACGTGCAAGCACCGAATTCATCATAAACAACAAAGATGCAGTGTGAGTGATTAATTGTGCAGTGTAGTCAGTTTTTTTATTAACAGGAGTTTTTGCGAGATTAAACCGCCTTTTTTAGTAGCCTAATGTTGAGAGTTCTTTACTCGCTTTCTGTAGTTTATTCCATGTTTTTTTTTTTTACAGAAGAACTTGCCAAGTCTTGATTTACTACTTGGCTAATGCGTAAAATATATATATATATATATTTAAATGCATTTCCTACTGTTTTGTATGGAAGCCCGTTTCCACCACTGAATAAAAAAATATAATTCTGTTATAATGACAAACTTTCTCGTAATAATGACTTAGTTTCTCGAAATAATGACTTATTTTCTCATAATAATGACTTAGTATCTCGTAATAATGACAAACTTTCTCGTAATAATGACTTAGTTTCTCGAAATAATGACTTATTTTCTCATAATAATGACTTAGTATCTCGTAATAATGACAAACTTTCTCGTAATAATGACTTAGTTTCTCGAAATAATGACTTATTTTCTCATAATAATGACTTAGTATCTCGTAATAATGACAAACTTTCTCGTAATAATGACTTAGTTTCTCGAAATAATGACTTATTTTCTCATAATAATGACTTAGTTTCTCGTAATAATGAGAAACGTTCTCGTAATAATGACTTAGTATCCCGTTATAATGACTTATTTTCTCAAAATAATGACTTATTTTCTCGTAATAATGAGAAACTTTCTCGTAATAATGACTTAGTTTCTCGTAATAATGTAAAAAATGTATAGCCTGAACGCACTGTAAGTCACACTGGATAAAAGCTTCTGCTAAATGCATAAATTATAATTAATTATAATTATATTAGAATCTGGTACTGCATTCACCAGTAGCCTATGCATGTACTGCATTCCCACATATGTTAAAAAAACAGTTTGAATTGATCTTGAGGTGAGGAGTTCATTTTAATCAAATGACTAAATATGTTGAAATTACACAGAATATACGTGAGTCTCCGTTTGACTTACTTTCCATGACGCACATAGTAAAGTCAGAAGTTCAGCTCTGTTATTATGACACATCCTCTGATTTACTTTTATTTCAATCATTGTATGAAACCAGAAACCAACAACCACAAAAAAACCAAAAAAACAAAACAAGAGCAAGCTAAATACATCAAAGTTGAACATACACTGACAGAGGTGCGAGACAGATGGAAATTAGATCTAATGAGTTCATAAAATGTTTGGATTGTCTCCTGTTGTGCGTCAGAGGCTAAACGCATCTCTGGCTATCAACACCTGGACATCTGACACTGGAGCTCCCAGACGGCCACAGTTTTCTCTATTTTAAGCTTCTTTTTAGAAGCCATGACCCATCAATCACAACATATTCCAAATCAACCCAGCATTATCTATGAAAGTGTTCAAATAACATCTGTAAGGCAGAAAGGCTAATCAAAGCTGACCACTTTCTAAGAACTTTGAAATTATGTGAACACTCCAGACATATTCAGTGATGTCTAAGTGATACTTCCCGTTCTCTTTTGTCAAATGAACAAAGGACATCAAATACAGACAACCAGACACTAAGTGTAGTTATCATACAGAAAAAAAGTGCACTAATATCAAAATGATAAAATCACTAATCTTTGAACTTCACAACTCAATTTCGAAAACTCTTCAGGTTTTACTGCATCTGACAAACAGTACAAAAAATAAATGTGCATTTTTTTTTTTTTACAAGAAAGTCCCACGAGTCTATACCATAGTCCCAAAATGTCGTCCAGTTTGTGTGTACATTCAGCTTCTTGGACCAAGTCTGAAACTAAAAAGAAGTCCAATGTCTCCCAGTATCTTTAAGCACAATCCTTTCCAGTCAATGGTTTAACAAGGAACTTCATTTAGACCTTGACAGAATAAATGAAATAAAAAAATGGCAAAAAGTAATGAAAGACACCAGTATGATAAATTGCACACAGTATTTTGCTTTTCAGTTAAACTGAGCTATCTCATCTTGGAGACATCGTCAGAATTTAACCTCTGTGAGATATATGTACTAGACATTTATAAATCCATGAGGTATTTGTTTTTGACAAATAGTGTCTTTCTTTTTCTCAGAGATGGAATCCATGCTCCAGGCACGTGCTCTTGAAAGAGTTATTGGGTCTTCGGTTCTGCCAACTTCTCTGGCTCCACATCCAGGTCAGTTAAGCAGCAGACGCACATGATCTGAGTGTATTTGGTGACAGAATCTGGCATGGAGAGAGAAGCAGGTTGGAGAAAACGGGAGCAATCGAGTTACACTGAAAAAAAAATGCTCAATTTAAGTGGGGAAATTAAGTTTTACCTGCACCATCCCACTGGAAAATGTTTTTTTTCCCCCTCTGATTTTAAGTATGAGCTTTATTAAATTTGAGTAGATATTAATAAACTGATTGAGTAGTGCATTGACAGTTTGAGGATGAAGTAAGTATTTAAGAGACTACACTCTTAAAAATAAAGGTGCTTCAAAAGGTTCTTCAAGCGATGCCATAGAAGAACCATTTTTGGTTCCACAAAGAACCATTCAGTCAAAGGTTCTTTAAAGAACCATCTCTTTCTTACCTTTTTATAATCTGAAGAACCTTCTTTCGCCACAAAGAACCTTTTGTCAAACAGAAAGGTTCTTCCTATGTTAAAGGTTCTTTATGGAACCATTTAGACAAAAAGGTTCTTCTATGGCATCGTGAAGCACCTTTATTTTTAAGAGTGTACCAGATTCAATGATCTATGCTAAGCTGCAGCTAAAAGTGCTACCGCCAGACCCGGAGATTGGCGGAATGGATTCGAAAACGGTAAACCTCAACTGTTTAACTCTAGGGGAGTTGGAAAATTAGCCTATTTTCAAAAATAGTGGCGTGTTCCGTTAAGGTGCATGCGATTTTTTTTTTCTTTACAATTTATTTTTACCACAAAAGAAATGAGTAGCACTTTTTAAAAATGTTTAAAATTATTTCCACCCACTTCAGATGAACAGCCCACTCATTTCAGTAACCTAATAAAAGCTATTCGATACATGAAGCGGATCACCTAATGGGGGCTTAACATGATGAAATCACATGACTACTACTATTACTGAACACTTTTGTTAAAAAAAAAAAAAGAATTTTAGATGAATGTGAATAGGGTGTTGCAACAATGACATCAGCCAGCAAAAACAATGGCTTTAGGCAATGCTACATCTAAGAGACCTTCATCCGCCACTGGATACCTTCATTGGGCCAGGTGCGCGGACCTTACAAACATGAACAAAAAATTACTGAGTGCACCTTTAAAGGTGACATATCATGAAAACCTGACTTTTCCAGGTTTTAAGTGCTATAATCAAGTGCTAATTAAGTGCTATAATGCCCATAATTATATATAATTGGGCATCTACCAACCAAGGAAACGTGAAAAAGATTAATCCAGTAACTTTGTTTTGGTAAGCCTTTTTCTGCAAGCCTCTGAG